AGTGCGGTGGTTGTTGGGTCGCCATAAGCGACGTGCTTGGTTCTTTCAACGCGTTGGATGACGAGACAACACGTTTCAGCAGCAGAAAAACGTTTCAGCAGCACCTTCTGTTTTCCTGTTTCCTTGTTGCGCTCCGAGTATTCCCCCTTCTTTGTCTGTGTTAGCTTCTGTCGTCATTTCTGACGGTGGTACAGTTGACGAACTGGTAAACACTAGGAGGTCAAATAAAGTTTCAAATTCCGGTTTCTGGTTTTCTTCGAATCGAATCTTTCGAATCGAAATATGCACAAGAACTCGCCGTAAGAGCACGACGCCGGGGGAACCTAATGAAATGAAGACTAACTCGAGAAAACAAATATATATAAAAGGGAGGAATGAGATGCGTTTTGATTGTTATTATATCCTGTTTTTGAATCACCAGCGATCCTTGGACACTGACTGGCTCTCAGCAGTATCGTGTATACAAGGTTCACACTATATTTTTCCTTTGATAAAAAACTAAAACAGAAAAACTAGTCTTTCAAGGCTTGCAATTGTGGACTGCAACAAATCAAATTGTGTAAATAAACAATGATGTAAGAAATGTAAAAGAGGAACAGTTAACTGTCGTGTAATGTATTTTTGATCTAAAATCATAATCAGTGATTTTAAATCGATCACGTGCTTCCCGCCCGTTGGATTTGAACTCCAGCAACTTCAAGTACCTTTATGAAATTGAGCGCATTTTGAAACTGACTAGCAGACTAAATAGCTATAGCACGCTCTATCAGGTATGGCACCCAATGTGTCTCTATGAGCAGAAGTGGTTACTATACCTGAGCAGCCGTAGATTTCCACCCTCATCGATATGTGATTGTGCCACTCAACAGGCATCAGGCGAATGTAACGTGCTGTTATTGGTGGACTGAGTACATTTTTTACAATTGTGTTACTGTCCTGATTTCCATAAAATACCTGATGTTGAGACAGTAAAGACTTAAAACGGAAGCCAAAAATGGTCAGTTTGCTGGGTAACGTTCTGGTGCATAAGGCTCAAAGAAGAAATCTTACGTTTGGTTTAGCATTGTATGGCCTACAATTAACTGCTATACATAAAATAAGAACTTAAGTCAAAATGGGGTCAAGCGGCTAACCTCTCTACTCTCTTCAGCAGTAATCATACCTTTGCTGAACTGTCTTCCGTTGCATTATAAAATTCAAAAGTCACTCCGTCACTGCTATACTGTATGCGGTATCTGGACACCCACTGGTCGTTCCCATTCATCCCCTGAGTCGCAACACCTGTCACTCGAGAGTTATCACCGATATCCACTTGAAGCCACTGATTGAAGTTATTGCTCATAGCTGACCACCCCCCTCCCTTGTTCCCGTCTGCTTTCGAATTTAACCTTGCCTCCTTTGCGCCATGATCCTCATCCATTTGGGAGGATACCCTTAGGTTGGCATCAGATATTTCTTTATTCTCCACACCAAGTGCTGCAGCACATCCTGTGTTTGAAAAAATATATTTTGTTTGAAAGAGTGATTTATAATAAACACATTCGAATAACCTTCCAACAATAAGATTCTGCTTAGTTGGTTAAACTGCTTGGATTGCTTTATTTCATCACGTAAGGGACCATATCTGTAAAATTTATGGCGTTTTTTTGTCAAATAACCTTATTTATAGAATGATTA